AGAATCACTTAATCAGTCGGGCCCTTGGGTTCATGGCTGCAGCGAGCCGTGATCACACCATTGCATACTGCACTCCAGCTTGGGCAACAGAGTGAGACTCTCACTCTCTCTCTCTCTCTCTCTATATATATATATATGTGTGTGTGTGTGTGTGTGTGTGTATTTACATATACACATACACATATACATATATACACATATACACATACACATATATATAAATTTTTAAAAAGAAATGTTTTATAAAACATAACAAATACTTGGTCATTTAACCATTTTCTTACTGCTCTCAAAGTCTGAATGTCTCTTGGTAGAGAAGCTGAGTAGAAATCTGCAGAAACTCGGGAATCTGGTGTCAGCCTCTGAATTGGTGATGCTCAACACCGGCTGCACTTGAGGACCTCCCGATGGGTTGGTTAACACTTTGTTCAAGCCCCACCCTCACTGAGTTTGGTTTAAGTGGCCTGGGTGGGGGTGGGCACAGGGATTTGTTAAATGCTCACCAGATGGTTGCAATGGGCAGCCTGGGTTGAGAGCCATCAAGGTAAAGTAAAAGTTGCGTTAACTTCCAGCAGCCACACCCCTTATTTATGAAAGGAGTTGAAAACCTTTTCCACACAAAAACCTGCATGTGGATGTTTAGAGCCACTTTATTAATATTTGCTAAAACTTGGAAACAATCAAGATATCCATCAGTGGGTGAGGGGATAAACTGGGGTACATGCAGACAATGGTATATTACTTAGCACCAAAGAGAATTGAGCTGCAAAGCCATGAAAAGGCACGGGGGAACCTTAAATGCATATTACTGAGTGAAAGAAGCCAATCTGAAAAAGCTGCATACTGTACGATTCCAACTGTATGACATTCTGGAAAAGGTGAAACTATGAAGAGGGTAAGAAGATCAGTGGTTGCCAAGGGGGAAGCGGGAGGAAGGGATGAATTAGTAGCTTACAGAGGATTTGCAGGGCAGTGAGACTACTCTGATATTATAATGATGGATACATGTCATAATGCATTTGTCAAAACCCATACAATGCCCAATGCAGAGAGTGAACCCTAAGGTAAACCACGGACTCCGGGGGATAGCGATGTGTCAATCTTGGTTCATTAATTGAAACAAACACGCCACTCTGGTGGGGGATGTTGATAATGAGGGAAGTTGTGCGCGTGTAGGGACAAAGGTACCTGGGATACGTCTGTACTCTGCTCAATTTTTCTGTGAACCTAGAACTGCTCAGAAAATGAAGTTTGTTTTTAAAAGAGAAAAGCTATGACTCTCTTCTCCTCTCTGTTCGACAAACAGCCCCATCTACTCATGCAGTGTCAGCCTCATCCAGGATACAATGGTGAAAGTCTGAGTCAATGGATTTGGCCATATTTGATACCTGGTCACCAGGGCAGCTTTTAACTCTGGCAAAAAGGACATTGTCATCATCAATGATCTCTTCATTGGCCTCAACTCCATGGTCTACATGTTCCAGTATATTTCATGGCAAGTCCAATGGCATAGTCAAGGAAAGAGAACAGGAAGCTTGTAATCAATGGGAAGCTCATCTCCATCCTCCAGGAGCAAGATCTCGCCAACATCAAATGAGGCAACTCTGGTGCTGAATATGGGGCAGAGCCCACTGGTGTCTAGCACCATGGAGAAGACTGGGGCTCACTTGAAGTAGCCAAAACTGTCATCATCTGTGCCCCTCGTGTTCTTGTGCAGATTCCATGTTTGTGATGGGCGTGAACCATGAGAAGTATGATTTCTCTTCTGGAGATTGTCAGCAATGCCTCCCGCACCATCATAGTTTGGCACCCTTTGCCAAGGTCATCTATGACTATAGTCCATGCCACTACTGCCACCCAGAAGACTGTTGGAGAAACTTTGGCATGACTGCTACAGAACATCATCCCTGCGTCTACTGGTGTGGCTGAGGCTACGGGCAAGGTCATCACTGAGCCAGATGAGAGGCTCACAGGTATGGCCTTCTGTGTTCCCACCCATAAGAGCCATGTTGGTCATGGCTTTCATCTGCCATCTGCAGAAAGCTGCGAAATGTGATGCATGAGAAGATGGTGAAGCAGGTATCGGAGGGCCCCCTCAAGGGGATCCTCAGCTACACTGAGGACCAAGTTGTCTCCTCTGACTTTAAGAGTGGCACCCACACTCTTCTACCTTCAATGCCAGGACTGGCATTACTTCAATGGCCACTTTGTCAGGCTCCTTTCCTGGGATGAATTTGGCAGCAGCAACAGAGTGGTGGACCTTATGGTCCACATGGCCTCCAAGGAGTAAGACCGCAGGACCACCAGCTCCGCCAATAGCACAAGAGGAAGAGTGAACCCCCAGCTACTGGGGAGTCATTGCCCCACTCAGGCTTCCCAAAGTCAGTTTCCATTCCAGACTCTTGGAGAAAGGGGAGGGGCTTCGGGAGCTCTAGCTTCTCAGGCACTATCAATGAATATACCACCCCCAGTCAAAAGAAAAAGGCCACATAACTTAACATGGGCAAGAGTCCTCTCACATGACTCATGGCATTGAGCGTTTGGTTAGTAGAATAGAAGAGTAGTCCAGTTTCTAAAGATTTTAATCATGTGTATACTGATAAAAGTGAAATCATTACAGGTGATCGCTGGTTGATGTGATGCTGTGGTGTCTTTTGATGGAAGTGCTGCCATAAACTTTTCCCTCTGGCCAATCCCCAAGACCAGGCTGCTCCAGAGGGACTTTTGAGAAGAATAAGACTCCAAAGACGTTAAGAATCCCCCAGTTCAAAGGAGCCCTCCCTAGCTCAAGGTTGCCTCGGATTCCAGCCCTCTCCTCCCAGGCTTTATTGGGCTGGTGTTCCTGGGAGCGTCAGTGTGAGTAGCTACGCACCTAGTGGGACTGTGTTGCACCTGTTCCTGAGAGCAGGTGTGATAGGAAACAGCAAGACGAAGGGCAGCACCCAGGCATGTGGGGGTGAGAAGGCACTGGCACATCCCTCCCACCTGGGGCTTGCTGTAGGAGAGGCATGGTCTCCAGAGGACCCCTCCCTTTACCAGCATGCAGGATGCTTGGTCAGTCCTGAATATTACAGCCAAACCCTAGCCAGGGCCCCTGCCAGCTGAGGCAGAGGCTGAGTGTGTGAGGATGGAGTTCCCATAGCCTGCTGGCAAACTCTTTGAGATCACACACATCCTGAGAGCAAAGGAAAAGAATGCATGCCAAAATCCATGCTAGCCTATGTCCCTCTCTTCTCAAAACTGCTTTGGGAGCTTTAGTTCTTGTAGAAACCACACTTTGCGGATCCAATTTCAAGACTTGCCACATATCCCTTGTAAATGAGGATGTGCATTTCTCAAGCCTGAACAGTTTGTACAAAGGCCACAGTTGGTCTTTACAGGGACAGTGTCAAAAAAGCGGGTGGTCTTCCTGAGAAGCCAAGGGGTGACACACCCCTGCAGGGGTTCATTCTATGCATGGCACATTTAAGTCAAAGCTCTCCACACACAAGGTTCAAAAGAACAAGCTCTGGGATATTTTGCAGACCAGAAAAGGGTTCCCATGATGTGGGCAACTCTCACATCCTTGGAGGCATCAGCAGGGTTGGCTGGGATGCAGGCTGCAGCTTGTGCTGGAAGTGATATTCACTCTCAGAGGGAAACCTGGACCACTTCTCCCTTTGAGAATGTTGGAGTGTAGTGGAAAGAGCTGGATGTCCAGAGTCATGAGACCTTCTGGGTACAACCCTATGGTCATATCTTCATCTCAGAGCAAATGCAAATACCCTGTAGCGCCTATCACCCTGGAGGGTATGAGGATCAGAGGAGGTGCTTTGGAAACACCTTGAAACTGTATAGAGCTTTTTGGATATAAACTTGATACTTTCTGATCTCCCAGTGGCCCTTTGGGAGGAAATGGGATCACTGTTGAACCCAATGCAACTCTCAGAGAAGTCAAGACACAGGGTAAATTGGTTGTAGGGGCCACTTGTGCCTGTCCCACACATCACAGCTGCAATCCTTCTTTTGGGTTGCATGAGGCAGGTCTCCATGGCTTCCAAAACAATGAGTCCTCCAAGGTCAAATGTATTTTTAAATTTCTCATCAGAGTTCTTTGAGAAAGGGAACATTGTTTTCAGCGTCTCTTTTTGCAGAGGATAATTAATACTACTGATAAAATTGCTGGTTCTGTGAGTAGACCCGCCGTGATGCTGGGATCACATGACCCTGCAGGCCTTTGAGTCGCTGGAAGCTGTTGCCTTCCAGAGGGAGCCCTGCACCCCAGGGCTGTGCAGGAGGAAAGAGGGAGCCCATGGGAGCAGGGTCACATTGTGAAGGGCCAGCCAACCCCTTGGACGGTCCTGTTTCCCCCGAAGACACATGACAACACTCCTTATAAATAGGCTCCTCCAGCTCAGGCAGTTGACAGTTTCAAGAAATCCGTTAGAAGAAACAGGCAGAGTTGTGATGCTGGCAAAGTTCTAGGGCTTTTTTTTCTTCCCCATTTTAACTGTTAAAATTTATCTCCGACATTGCACAAACGAATGAAATCAACAGCCTCTTATCAGATCCCAAATCTGTCAGCCAATGTCTACCAGCCACTTGGAGCCAAAAGCCTCTTAGCACATGTGTGACTTGAGCTGAGAAGGGACCGGGACAGGAGCGCAGGCAGCTTTGTTCTGGCATCCTCGTTCCCAAACATTTGCTCATTTAGAGCCCAGGAGGCAGCAGTGCCTCCACTGCCTCCGATCTCGGTTCTGTGGGCTTCCAGACAGCGTTCAAGCACCTCCCTGACAAGCCTTCATCTCTTTCTTCAGTTACCAACCACCACCCATGGCCGTAGGGGCCAGTGGCCAAATTCTATGCTGTCCTCCTAGCCTTTCATGCATGCCCAGGTCTCCATGGGGTGGGAAGAGTTAGAGGTACTGCTGTGAACCCACAGTTGCCTTAAATGGCTTGGGCTGAACCAGGCAGAGAAAGAAGCCCAGCATTCCCTGGGGCACAGTCACCCTGGCACCCACCTTGGGCTGAGCACTTTCATGACTCGAAGCTTTGGAGAGAAGTCCTTGAGCAGTACCTCTGGCTGGCTACCTCCTCTGGCTCCAGGAGTTTCTGATCCTGGACAGATCCCAGTGTGCATCTCTCCAAGACATGTCTGTTCCCATGATGTCTGGAGGAAAGCGACATAAGACTTAACGTAAGTTTCCCTAGAGTTCCTCTGGGTTAATCTATCTATGTATTCCTGGGGTCAGCACATGAAAACTACCAATAATAATAAGTACCATGCATGGGCCATCTCCCATATGCCAGGCACTTTTTATACAGGCATAGCTGATTTTATTGCACTTAGCTTTATTGTGCTTTGCAGAGATTCTATTTTTTACAAACTGAAGGTTTATGGCAACATGGCATTGAGCAAGTCTATAGATGCTCACTTCCTGTCTCTGTGTCACATTTTGGTAGTGTTTGCAATATTTCAACCTCTTTCCTTGTTATTATATCTGTAACACTCATCAGTAATCAGTGATCTTTGGTGTTACTACTGTAATTATTTTTGGGCATGAGAAACCACATCCATATAAGACAATGAATTAATCAATTAATGTGTGTGTTCTGACCGCTCCACTGAGGCTGTTCCCATCTCTCTCTCTCTCTCTCTCCTTAAGTCTCACTATTCCCTAAGACACAACAATATTGAAATTAGACCAATTAATATAACCCTACAATGGCTTCTAAGTATTCAAGTGAAAGAAAAAGTGGTATGTCTCCCAACTTTAACCAAAAGTCAGAAATGATGAAGCTTAGTGAGGAAGGTATGTTGAAAGCCAAGAGAGGCTGAAACCTAGCCCTCTTGTGCCAAACAGGCAGGCTGTGAATGCAAATAAAAAGTTCTTGAAAAAAGGTAAAAGTGCTACTGCAGTGAACACACGAATGATAAGAAAGTGAAACAGATTTATTGCTGACATGGAGAAAGTTTGCGTGGTATGGATAGAAAATCAAACCAACCACAACATTCCCTTAAACCAAAGCCTAATCCAGAGCAAGGCCCTAACTCTTTGGTTCTATTAAGACTGAGAGAGGTGAGGAAGCTGCAGAAGAGAAGTTGGAACCTGGTAGAGATTGGTTCATGAGGTTTAAGGAAAGAAGCTATCTCCGTAAAATCAAAGTGCAAGATGAGGCAGCAAGTGCTCCAGATCTTGCTAAGATCATTGATATGAAGGTCACTCACTAAGCAACAGATTGTTCATGGAGTTGAAGAGCCTTCTATTGGAAGAAAAAGGCACCTAAGATTTTCATTGCTAGAAAGGAGAAGTCAATGCCTGGCTTCAGAGCTTCAAAGGACAAGCTGGCTCTCTTGTCAGGGGCTAGTGCAGCTGGTGACTTGAAGTTGAAGCCAGTCCTCATGTACCATTCAAAAACTTATGCTAAATCTACTCTGCCTGTGCTTTACAAATGGAACAACAAATGCTGGGTGTCAATACATCTGTTTATATCATGATTTACTGAATATTTTAAACCCACTGTTGAGACCCTCTGCTCAGAAAAAAAAAAAAAAGATTTTGTCAAAATACAACTGCTTATTGAGCATCAGGTCACCCAAGAGCTCTAACGGAGATGTACAAGGAGATGAATGTTGCCATGTCTGTTAACAACCATTTTGCAGCCCAGGAATCAAGGAGTCGTTTTGACTTTCAATTCTTATAATTTAAAAAGTACATTTTGTAAGGCTGTAGCTTCCACAGATGGTGATTCCTCTGATGAATCAGGACAAAAGAAATTAAAACCTTCTGAGATAATTCACTATTCTAGGTGCCATTAAGAACATTCATGATTCATGGGAGGAGGTCAAATACCAACATTAACAGGAGTTTGGAAGAAGTTGATTCCAACCCTGGATGACTTCAAGAGGCTCAATTGAGACTTTGGTCATTTTACCAGAGGAAGTCACTGCAGATGTGGTGGAAATAACAAGAGAACTATAACTAAAAGTGGAGCCCGAAGATGTGACCAAATTGCTGCAATCTCATGATAATGTTTAAATAGGTGAGGAGCTGCTTTATATGGGATGGGCAAAGGAAGTGGTTTCTTGAGACAGAATCTACTCCTGGTGAAGATGCCGTGAACCTCGTTGAAATGACAACAAAGGATTTAGAATGTCACACCGACTCAGTAGATAGAGCAGTGGTCGAGTTTGAGAGGACAGACTCTAATTTGGGAGGAAGTCCTACTGGGGGTGAAATGCTATCAAACAGCATCACATGCTACAGAGACATCTTTCGTGAAAGGAAGAGTCAATTGCCGAGGCAAACTTCACTGTTGTCTTATTTTAAGAAATTGCCACAGCCACCTCCACCTTTGGCAACTACCACCCTGGTCAGTTAGCAGCCATCCACAGTGAAGAAAGACCCTCCACCAGCAAAAAGATCATGATTCGCTGAAGGCTCAGATGAAGTCTAAGACGTCACCACCTGGCACCTCCTTGTCCTCACCCTTGGCAGGCAGAGCCCCGAGGCTGCCTCTGAGAGAAACACAACACACTGGCATGTCTGTGCCTGTGACACCCCACATCAGACAGACACACAGACAACCCGATGGGAGGCACAGACCCGATGGGGAGGCCTGGTGGACAGCACAGGAGAGCTCAGCCAGCCACGTTCGTTGAGCCCTTATTGCAACCCCAGCCCCATGCTACACCCTGAAAGGGTTTGAAAAGAGACAGAGGCGAATGATCCAGACTTAGCCTCCTGAAGAATGGATGAGCAAGTGCTTACCTGTGTTTTAAGGGTCCCCAGGATCTGTTTTAATTAAGGATGATAAGGTACACAGACACAAAAATGACTGTCATGAAGGAAGAAGCTTATTCTGCTCATACATCCCTAGAAACAGGAGGCCCAGCACAGCACACAGGGCCTCACAGGAGACACTGGGCCAGTCAGGAACACAGGGAGAGGGAGGAACTGTGGGCTGGAGCCTTTTTATGGTTTCCACAGGAGGAGTGGATAAGTGGAGCACATAGGCTTAGGATCACCTAGTTTAACTAATTTCAGGGCTCCAGGGCAGATGACTGTCCCTAATGTCTGGCAATGGCCCTGGGGTAACTAACGCAGGTGGATAAACAGTAGCCCTCATGTGAGAGCCTGACAGGGAAGGTGGTTGGATATGACCTCCGGATTGGTGGGTTTTCATATGAAGATGAACTCGTAGAGGAGTTTGCTATCTCTAGGAATTAGCTAGCCCTGGGAGGGGCAGTCCCCCCAGGGTCACCAAGGCCTCAGATGTCAAAGTGTCATGAATGAATACGGAAAAGTAAAGACACAGGTAATACACCCAGTGCCTCAGGACCTATCAGGGCAGAGGTCTGCCCTGGGCAGTGAATGTCCAAGGAAGGACAATAATGTTCACATATTTAAAACATAGGTCATATCCAGGATCATACATTTTTGGGATGATAAACCAGAAAGAATATGCTTCTATCAATATCTGTCACCACCACCTCCCTTCATTAGCGCTGTTACCAGGTAGAGACAGGCCTTTAGTGCCAGGGCTATGAGAGCCCCTGCATGGCTGGCCCCACCCTTGCCTGCCTCTGCAACCACATCCTTGCCAGACCCTTTTGCTGCAATCCCTCCAGCACAACAGGCTCCTCCTGGCCCCAGGGCCTTTGCACCTGCTGTGCCCATGCCCAGTTGGGCCCTCAGCTTACCCACCACAGAGCCTGGCCTGGGAAACTCTTACTCCTGCTTCAGGTCTCAGCTTGAAATCAGGCCCATCTTCCCTGACTCTCACCCGCTGAATGTGAGCTTCCCAGGACTGCTCTAAGCTTCTCTCACAATCACTGTTTCAGTGGTTCATGTATCACTGAAGTGTTGGTCTGTCTGAGCCAGACTTCTCTGCTCTAGTCCAGAAATCAAACTTTCCTATAGACTCTATCTCTATACATCAAATACATCAGGGTTCTCTAGAGAAACAGAACCAGTGGGGGGTGTGTGTGTTTGTGTGTGTGTGTGTGTGTGTGTAAATACCTTTATGACAAGAAACTTGTTCACATGACTGTGAAGGCTGAGAAGTTCCAGATCTGCAGTCAGCCAGCAGGAGACCCAGGAGAGCCATTAGTGTAGCTCCCGTCCGAGGGCAGAAGACCTGTGTCCCAGTTCAGAGGTCAGGCATGAGGAAGAGTTCCCTCTCACTCAGCCTTTTCGTTCTACTCAGGCCTTCAGTTAATTGGGCCGGGCCCACACACATTGGGATCTACTGATTCCAATGTTACCCTCATCCAAAACCTCACAGACATGCCCAGAATAATGTTTGACCCAATACCCGGGCACCCAGTGGCCCAACCAAGTGACACGTTAAATTGTCCATCGCACTATCTTAATGTTTCCCAGTCTCCTGGAGCTTAAAATGTCAGATACTGACCTCAGTACCTTCCCCCTCTCAGCACAAAACCCTGCACACTCTGCCTTCTACAACACCCCTCAGACCCATGCCCACCTCCCAGCCCCACCAGGCCTGGCTTGCTTTGGGTCTCATGACATCCTGAGTTCCAGCCACTGCCTGTGTGGCCTCAGACCAGCGGCATTTCCTCCCTGCACTGTTCCCCACATGACGCCTTTCTGTCTCTCTGATGTCAGGCTCTTGCCTAAAATCTGTCTGAGGTCTCCTCTCAGGGTGAAATTTCTGCTCATGAGCCTGTGACCGAGGCCTGCCTAACAGAGCCCTGACCCGCCCCTTCAGGCCCGTTTTATCTGCCGCCCCAGGAGCCACCTACAGTTCTGAACACCTCTGGCCTCTTTATACCTCTGTACTGCACTTTCCTTCCCCTGTCTCTGCCTCCTCCCTCGACTAACCCCAGTCCCACCAAACACTCACAGCCATCTGAACTGAACTCACCACACACACCCCACAGGTGTTCCTTCTCCTTCCCCTTCATCCCTTTTCAAATATTACCACCCTTCATAGCATGAATGGATTCCATTGCATGCACCTGCACACATCCAGAAGCGCATTCACAGAGCACTGCATGGAGCTATGTGCACCGACGGCTCGGGAGATTCCCCTACGGGTTTTGACTTATGATGTAGTTTACACCCTCAGGTGGAGAACACTTTGCAAAAGACACAGCTTCCATCCCTGCATACCCAGCCACCATGACAAGGCTGGGAGGGTGGGGAACAGGGGGTCCTCATTCTTTATTCACAGCCTCATGAACTTCAGGGAGTACAGGCAGCATTATCCCCAAGAGGGTTGCTCCTTCTTTCCTTCCTTCCTTCAACA